ATTGATATATTTGAATATTTGGAGGAAGATATTATCGCTTATACAGAATTCGAGATTGAGATTGAGATTGAGATTGAGATTGACGCTTAGTAGTAGTTTGAGGATGAATTTGATGCATCCGTATAGTTGGAGCATTAAATTGATATCTACGCTTTTGCAATATGACCGGAGAAGATGAAGCATCCGTTTGAGCCGTATTAAATTTATAATATATTTTTCTTTCTCTTCTTTTAACTACACATTCTATAATAAAATAATATTACATATAAATAAATAAATAATTCTTTCTTTTTAACCACACATTTTTCAAAAAAAAACACAAGTGCCGCTATTTACATACAAAGTTTTTATAAATACATCCCACTATATATACATCCTTATTAAAATTTTAAAAAATTATTATTTTCATCAACATCAAATTTCAATATTACTCTTATTAAATTCATTTATTTAAATATATGAATCCATACAAATTTTATATATTGATCCCATTATAAATACATTTCTAATACAATTTCAAATTTTTTTTAAAAAATCACTATATTCATCCAATCATTATCAACATTTATCTGGTTCTGACTTTTTATTTTCTATATTTTCAAGTCGATGCTTTTGCCCCCGTTTGGCCCCCATTCTCTTTTTTTCCTCTCTTATTTTCAACCACATAATTTTTCATAAAATAATATTACACGTCTTGAAAACTTTTTATTTTTCTCAAATACATTCTTTAAAAAAACACTATTCCAAACATTAAAATTTGAAAAAAAAATTAGGGGCCAAGTGGGGCTTAATATTTAGCCACCGTTTGGCTCCTATTTTCCTTCTCATTATTTTTCTCTATCTTATTTTCAACCATACAATCTTTCATAAAATAATACTACATGCAAATTAAAAAAAAAAAAATTATTCCTTTTTAACCACACATTTTTCAAAAAAACACTATTTTAACTATTAAAATTTGAGAAGAATGAGTTATAAAGATTAACAAATCTCTTTTCTTGAATTTATAGGATTCTATCAAGAATACACTGTTCAAAAAATCAAACAAATCACTCCTCAAATCGTATGCTAACAATTATTTATTTATTTATTTTTTTGCTTATAAACCCATACTTTTGATTGTTTGTTATTTGGCTGATGATTTTAAGTTTGTTTACTTTTGTAATGTAAGAATATTTAAATAGGTATTAAAACTTATTTTGAAAATTTTCGTATATTTTCATCTGTCAAACCAATAATTAAAAAAGTATAAAAAATAATATTTTATTTTCATATCATGAAAGAATTATAACTCTTATAATGTGTTGATTTATTTTTCTTTTAGATTTTTGTTCAAGAGGATATTTTATGATTTTAGATAAAGATGATATTTTATTATTATTAGAATTTTAGATAAACACAAACCCTAAACGAATATAAAAATGTTTTAAAAAATTTATTAAAATAAATAATATTGGATGAAGTTAGAACGATACATTTTTATTTAATTTTATACATATCTATTTAGGTAAATTTATATAAGATAGAAAATATAATATAATTATAATTTTAAAAGTGGGTGCATATATAATATGTAGACACCGAGAAACACAGCTCCAAAAATTAGGATTGGACAAATCTCCCGAACCGAACCGAACCCGACGGTATCTGAATTGAGAACCGACGGGTAGGGTTCGGTTCTCGGTTCTAGACCTAGAACCGAAAAACCGAATAAGAACCGAATCTTTCTAATTTTATTTTTTTTTATATTGAGTAAATCAAATTATTTTAATTTTTTCTAAACAAATTAATAAATTAACAATTTCTAAATCCAAAATTTTGGCCCAATAATTTGTTTCATTTCTAATTTTTTAATTTTTGGCCCAATTACCCATTTTATTGTTTCATTTCTTAGCCAAGCAAGATCAAATCCACTAAATAACCCTAAACACCAACACCAAAGTGCATAACGTTGTCTTGACTCTCGCACTCACTCTCGCAACCTCATTAATATTCCAAAACCTATACAATTATCGGTCGACACTATAAACTCCGATCGAAACTGTGACCTTCGCCAACCGAAACTTTGATCGTAGCGATCATTTGAATAAGATAGTTTACTAGTTTCTGACATTCCAAAACCATTGAATGTATCATTAGTTGTATTTATATAATTTTTTATAAATGTTAAAAATTTTAATTATAGTACAGAACCGAACGGAACCGAACCGAACGAAACCGAACTAAACGGAACCGAACCCGAACGGTTCCATAATTATATTTGGACCCGACAGTTTCATTTACTAGATACCTTTAGAACCGAACCGAACCGAACCGAACCGACCCGCGCCCACCCCTACCAAAAATTATCACCAAACGGGCGTGGAACCCGACCCAGACAGGCATATAAATAAAACTCACACATTCACGGTCGTCTTCTCCTCGGACTAGGGTTTTCTCTAAATTCGGCACATCCCCTTCCTCTTGTCCTACCCTTCAACGCTCTCGAGTTGTTCGTTCTCTTCAATCTGCAACATGGGGTATGTATATTCATATTCTTTAACTGTAAACTGTTTAAGTCTTTCTCGATGCATCGAAGAAAAGAAAGAACACGCGCCTTTAAGGAGCTATGAGCCATACTCAAGAAAAAGTAATAATGTCGTGTTTTTCAATTGAAGATTGATTAATTTTAAATAGATGTAATATTAGCTGATTGTTTCATTAGGATATTGGGACATTTTTGGGGATTTCATATTTCGAGTTCTCCAGTAATATGAATATTAAAAAAAATGAAGAATTTGATAGTAGATTTTTTGTTTTTCTTCATAATTCCCACCAAAAGATTGTTGCTTTATCTTCCACTATTTTCATTTCTCGTGTATAACAATTCTCAAGGAGGTTATTCATTTCTTTTATGTTGTTACTTGATTGTGATAGTTGCGACTTTAATAGGTCTAGACAATGCTACTAATCAGGGGCAATTACATATTTTAACAGTTTAATGTGTTTTGTTAGGATAGAAAGAGTCATAAAACTTTGAGAAACACACTCGAGGTCATATCTCGGAGATGGGAATAATAATTCTAGCCTATGCATTCTAACTCTCTGTTTTGAATGTGGTTTATTAGAAGCCTGTTGAGGATCTTAATTTTTTGAATATTGATTATTAGTGTTACTACCCTAGAATTTTTATGTGGGATTCTCTACTGTCACTTATGTTCTGAACTGCCTAAGCATTATTAAATTAACCTCGGAAACAGCAATGTGCATGACTTGATGGGTAGTCTATCTTCCTGGGCAATTTTGTAAGCCTTGTCATATAGATACTAAGAACTATGGAGTCCTCTGAGATGAGATGCAGTTTGGCTACAATTTCTGACCAAGACAATTTGGAATATTATTTCGTTGTTAAATTGAAATTTTTAGAGTTAAAAAAAGAAAAGATTTCAATGAATTTTTTTAAACATTCATAGTATTTCCAATCTCGTTGAGTAGATTCATGATTTCTAAACTATTAGGAAGACACGTGGTATGGGAGCTGGTCGCAAACTCAAGTCCCACCGTAGAAGACAAAGATGGGCTGACAAGGCGTATAAGAAATCTCACCTTGGGAATGAATGGAAGAAACCTTTTGCTGGTTCATCTCATGCCAAAGGCATTGTTCTTGAAAAGATGTGAGATTCTACCTTCTGCCTTGGCTCATCTTAAAAGTCAATTCTTATAAGGCTCAGATATGATTATGAATTCCTTAACTTGGTATAAATTGCTGTTTGTGTACAGAGGTATTGAAGCTAAGCAGCCAAACTCTGCCATCCGTAAGTGTGCTAGGGTTCAACTCATTAAGAATGGCAAAAAGATTGCTGCTTTTGTTCCCAATGACGGTTGCTTGAACTATATCGAGGAAAATGTGAGTTCTTATTATAAGTTAATTGCTGTGATTTTTCTGCTACTCATTTTCGTTAATACCTAACCTTGTAATTTTTCTGCGACAGGATGAAGTGTTGATTGCTGGATTTGGGCGTAAAGGTCATGCTGTGGGAGATATTCCCGGTGTTAGATTTAAGGTAGTTAAGGTTTCAGGTGTCTCTCTTCTGGCTCTTTTCAAGGAGAAGAAGGAAAAGCCTAGGTCTTAGTTTTGATTTTTTGTTCCCTCACTGTTGTTTTGAGTGCCTCTTGAATCGACAAAATGTTTTTAATTTCGTGAACAATTTAGTATGTGTCATCAACTTAATTGAAATTTTGATATTGTGGATTTCATATTATTATTTCTTTGTAGCTGCAACTTTGTTGAAAAGAACTCCGATGAGAGTGAATTAATGGTGGAGAGGCTATTTTTTGCATTGATTTTTGGGGTTCAGCCACTATAGTTAACAAAGGGGATTTAACAAGATAATAGCCAGCATTTTCGAGAGATTTAGAGCCTTAAATGTGGATGTGGACAACATCTAATTTCTATGATCATTAAGTTTAATTAGGATACTGCAATTATATTATTACAAAAAGGGGAGAGAAAATGATGGAAAAGCTTATTTTCTTTAAGAAGTTGAATCAAATTATTATTTAGAGGTACCGTGCATCAATTATCTTCTGGGTCATCTTTTGAATAATAAGGGAATAGCTTCTGAGCTTAATCTTTCTGGGATTCCATGCGTGCTTACACCTGAATGTCTCTCAGAATTTCTGTGCATCTTTGTTGCATGAGAATGGGAATGTGAATTCTCTTTGAAACAGCGCAGAAATGGTCTTCTTTAACATGGTCAAAATCAAATTGCATTTCACAATTTCTATATCAATTTTGCTACATGTACATTAAGTTTGATAGTTTGGTTAACATTGTTTGATGTGACAGACATAATAATTATTGATTTTAACAATACCCGTTCAAATTAATGGCTAATTTTTTTTACACAGGATGTCAAACTTAATGGACAAAAAACAACGTAGAAGTAGTTTAATTCTTTCTCAATTCGGGAGCATAATTTTAGATCCTGGAGAGAGTTTGGAATGTGTATAGTACTAAATGAGAGAGTTGAGAGGAAGTTGTGGTTTGAGAATATAGGCAAGAAATGCTTCTAGGTAATTGAAATCCACTACCAAACATTAATAAATAATACACGTAAATTAATAGTGACGGGGGAGAAAGTACTACACTACTATTCTTGCCATTCATAAAACTTCCGATATCAGAGAAAGGAGGAAATGAACACAAGCACCTGTAAGTGACATTGGGACAAAACATGACAAAAACAGTTCAACTTTTAGCTGACATAATACGCTTAAAGTTTGATAACTTCATCTAGCAGGAAAGCTGTCGAGTAGTTTTAATATGGAACAATTGGTGGGCTTACATCATATGCAATTTTGTATAAACCTTCCCTTTCATAGTCTCGTCTAATGAATGAATGGCAATATTTGAATCACCGGACACCTCCAGTTGAAGGCCTCTCACCATCAAAGTAAAGAGAATAGCCTTATCGTCCTCTAAACAAATCTTACCCACCAGGTACCGCTCTTCGGCCATCTTGCCATCTGCACGGAATAAATACAGGTGGGTTTAGTTTAACAGTTTGCTTTCAAGAATTCTACTAGTTGTCAAATAAGAGCTTGTTTGTCTCCCATTATGGGAGAAATTATAGAGTTTTGAATAGTATTTTTTGAAGAACATATGGTTAAAAGTTCAGTAACTTTATTGTTTTGTATGTAGAATATTTTAATGTGTGAATGTGTCGAGGAGAATGTTAATGTAGCAAACAATTTAATTTGTTAATGGATGACAAACAGAGGCTAAATAATATATGCAAAGTGTGAGGACTTAATCTATCAAGAGCAGTGTAACTGTACCTGAGAAACAAAGATGCTGCGCTTGAAGACTAGTGTTAGATGTTCTCTTTCTGCTCAGTAATAGGTAAGGGTATCACTATCTTTTCGACAAGCTGGGCTGCTGATTCTTTAGAGAAATCAGGACATTCACTATTGTAAAATGAATCCATGAGATCAAACGGTGCTCTGCTAGCAGTGGTTGTAGAGGCTGTTTCCGGGAAAGACGCTGAAACAGAGTCTGATATATCAGATAGAGGTTCACCCTTTTGGCTATAAACGTTTGAATTTACATATTCCTTTGATCCACTTAACTCCTGTTTATCTTCAGTCGTTTTCAAAATTGAACTCAAACACTTCCAATGATTTTCGTCATCCAATACATCTTTATCCACTTTCTGTCCAATACTTTTAGAGCCCATAGCATTATTATCTTCAACAAGAACAGCCTCGATATCCTCTCTGCGTATGTTTCTATGCATATTGAAGGCTGCTTCTTCGATCAATTCATCTGGATTTTTGTTCATAACGGCCCCAGTACCTGCGTCTAGAACTTTCTTATTTCCATCTGGCACTTTGGCTTGAACTTTCTGCAACTTCAAAATATTTTCTCCACTTCTGTTTCCTTGAGCTTCAGGTGATAAGCTAGGAGAATCTTTTACACCAGATAAGGCTTGAGAATCATTTGTCAATGCCCGTGATCTTTCTGGAAAGGATGCAGGAGACCTAGATTTTGGAGAACCAGGCTTTACATTTGCCAAAGAAGATACTGCTCTGGATGTAGGAAACTTTCCAGTCTTTGGCTTTATGTTTGAGCTCCCTTTTGGACTGCAGACAGCAGCCCCGATCTTCATTAGCACATTGCCCAAGTCAGATTGAATGCGCAGAGTTCCATTAGGAGTGCGGATGGACTTTGCCTGCAATGTAGCCGAATACTGATGAGTTCAGAAGATGTAAATCCTAAATGTTATATAATGATATAGGAAATATTAATAAGTATCAATTTACATCTTGCCTAGAGCAAAATAAAAGAAAAATATATCACATGTACAACACAACGTTACCTGAACAACCAATTACAGCCAAAATCTGAAACTAAAAGCAAGTACTAAGATAATGGCAAAAAACTAACCGCATCAAAGAACCCAATTTTTGGAGATGGCTTTCGAAGTCCTGATAGTTTTGCAGGAGCTTGAAGGGTACCACTTTGAGTTATGGATTTATTTGAAATGTTACCAGGTAAAGCAGTTCCCTTACTTTTATATTCATCTGCAATTCCATCAGTAGACCTCAGACCCAAAGGAACAACACTGTCATCTATGGATGGACAGGAGCTGATATCTAGGCTGTTCCTCGAGTTACTCGACCTTTGGTAGACCGTTGAAGATGATGATGCTGAAGACCACTCACTAATAGAACTAGCTGGTGATACACTTGAGGATATCTTAGTTGACCGCAGATAAGCTGAAAGAGTGGATGGCAGTGGTTTATTCTGCAGTGCTGCTTTCGATGGTGTTTTAGGAATGGAATCAGAGGAAGCTTGTCTAATAGTGCTACTCTTTACTGGAATTCTTCTTGCAGACATTAATGGAGAATTAGCAGTAGTTTTAGACAACATACTGTCAAAGCTGTCACTTGAAGTAGAGGACCTTGTAGACAGCATTTTGCTTGTAGTTGAAGTCCCCAAAGAAGAGGAATTGGAAGATGCAGCAGGCTTTGGCAATGCCCTTCTGGCACCACTTAAGACAGGAACTTTTGATGCCTGACTCCCTTTAGTAGAACTTGTTACTGTCAAGGTGATTAACAACAGTTTTACAGACTAAAAAATATTAATTGATCTTCTGCTGAAAATATCTGTATGTCATGAGTTCATTACCAGGTCTGAGTTTTGAGCTTCCGATTTCAGATTTGACATGACTACTACCAGTGGAATCCCTCTTTGTCGCTGATGTTGAAGTGAGGGTAGCCCTGCTGACAGCCTTGGGTGGCTTAGGCCGTAATGAACTTGGCTCGTCAGTCTTAGTGACGGTCTTCATCAAACAAAAATCTGGTTAGCGTCGGTCATTTAAGAGAATCAGAAACTTCATGATACATATTATCACCAAGACCATGGCACAGAAGACTTCTCATCAAAGCAGTGGAAAAAACTATATGGCCAATGCTTACAACAATAACAACAAAAGCCTTGTTCTTAATAAATTTGTAGTCTGATACATAAATCCTTTTTGGCCACTCTGTTTGGTCACTGCTAGGATCTATGCTTAACATAAAAATTGCATTATATATATGAGTGCTGATTTTATTGTAAAGTGTGATGGTAAGAACTGAATTTTGGTATTTACAATATCAGAGCCATTGCAAGTTTATGCATTCTGATAAAGAAAATTATACAGGACAGCAGTGAGTTCTCAAGATGTGTGTGTTGTAAAATGTTCTTAACATAAGTTTGTACATAGTGGAAGGATTAGGTAGTGTCTAGAACCTCCTCTCTTTCTTTACAGCAATAAATAAGAGATACTTGATGTACCATTAAAGGAGAGAGTTTCAAGCCAAACAATAACATACCTGGGTTACTTGCGAATGGCCAGAATCCTGCTTAACAGCTTTTCCCGATTCTTGCTTCCCAATATTTTGTTTTGGCTGACATTTTGGCATCCTAATTGTTTGCCTGCTAGTATTCTTTAAACCTGGTTTCACGAGCAGCTGAAATTTGATATCAGTCTCCCATCATTACAACAATCAAGCCATGATTACAAGAGACACTTTCCAATCAATTGAATGTACCTTTTTTTGAGAAGCAATACTTTCCTTCTTCAAAGCTGTTTCTGCCAGCAAAACATGAACATGAGAAACAGAACTTGCATGGGAACTTGCCTTCTACAACATCAACAGAGAGGAAGTCTGCTAAATGCTAATCCTGATGTTTAGTCATGGATGCAATTCAGTTGAAATTATCTGATCTTGGGACATGAAAATAGCAATTATTTCTTCTATTCAGTAAATTTAGAAGAGCTAAAAAGCAGCACTATAAGATTATCCATGTATGTTGTATTGCCAACTTCATGATTCACGTCAACAGAGATCACTATGCATTGAAGTACCCAGATGAACTATATTCCATTTTATTTGGTTAGCGTTAATCTTATTTGCTAAGTGAAAATCCCTTCAACTGTATGAACTAATTGAATTCGTGGATTGTTTGGCTTCAACCTTCAAGTACAATTGTAAATATAGCAGTTAGCCAGTAGGACATCAAGTTGAGAAGAAACAGCATTGTTGTAGCAGTTCATGGCAGGGCTGTGATTGTAAAACATAGCTAGAAATGTTTCAGAATGGGAATTCTCGAAAGATGACATAAAGCTACTCCACTAAAGGTAAGATGACGAGACGAAATAAATTATTTTGAGTGAATTCACTGTCATGCAGAATAGGTGAAGATGTGGAAGTACATTGTGACGAAGTTGCAAAAGAGTAACATGAAAATTGATTGAAGTTGCAGTTCAACATACTGCACGTCCTCTTAACAATCAAAAAAGAATTGAATTGTCACTTTTCTTGAGTTTTTGGAACTAAAAACAGAAGTATCACTGTTAATGGAGAGTGCCAAGTAAATGTGAAGGAAGAAGCAGTTTTCAAGTTCAGTTTAGTATCAACTTAGTAATTCTCCTGAAGACACAATAATGTGCATTGCATGGATTGCATATGAAACATACAGTTAGCTACACCGGATTAACAAAAGGTTGCTCACTTGCTATAGCTTGGTTATCTATCTCCATGGCCGCTGACTTGCTGATATAATTTGTTGCATTGGGAACTTTCTTATTGGATCTTTGGATGGAAGCTCTGATGTCTACGAACAAGTCATCCTCAAGAGATTCCACCGTAAGATTATCACTTTCAAGACTGGATATTGAATCAATAGACCTTCTTATTTCCTCTTTGATTCCAGGTAATAATTGATTTTTGTCCTTTTCAGCTACTTTAATCATAGTGGACAATTCTTCTGGGTCTAAAACACCTGAAATTTTCGAAATAAATTTGCATATAACGGCAAAAAAGATAAATGCAGAGTACAACCGTACGCTAGACTCACGACTTGATCTTCAATGCACAAACAATACCTGCATTACTGAAGAAAGCACTATCCCATGCTAAACTTTTACGCAAATTACACCTTCCATTTCTTCTCGCTTTTTCATGATCAGTTGATTGACGGAGCTGAGGCGTGTGGTGATCCACGTCAATTTCAAGAGTGGTGTTCACTTCCTTTTCAGAACCCAGAACTCCTGACAATTTACATGTTTTTGGTTCTGTCAGATTTCCTGAGAAGGATTCAAGTACCATTATATCTAAAATTCCAAACAAAAAAAATAGAAAAAAGAAAAAGAAAACAATTAAAAAATATAGAAAACGAGACATAGCATAAGTAAATTGTGGAAATAATTGGGATATCATCAAAATCATCTCGATTTCTTCTCTTATTCATATTAGGCATTTCTATGGTATAATGTTATCAAGAAACACACATTATATGCCCCAAGAATCCAACATTAAAAACGAATACAGTTACATATCAAGAGGACTAGCAGCTAAACTTCAACAAAATTTCATATCGGCACAGAAATTAAATTGAAACACATTCCACTTCCGAGCTCCGGAACCCCAATCTAAATACTCGATTGCATATGACATAGGCAAAATCAGAGGAACACGTACAGAAACAGAAGATGCACATACATTCTTCGATAAATCAAACCTATGCGCACACAGTCACACAATACGTCGAAAACAAAATTAAGGATTTGAACCTGAAAATTGATTGTCGTTTTGAGACGACAGATCCATGAGACTGATGGCTTCGGCTGCAAGATCGATCTTCTCAGAATCCTCTATTTTTTGGTTGGATTGATAAATCGGAATCTTTTCCATATAGAGTCAAGAACTGTATTTGCAATTGCTAGTGTAGACGTGTAGCCTAGGAGACAGGGAGGAGACCGAGAGCGCAAAAGTAAGGAGAAAGGGGATGAGGAGAGAGTGCAATGGGAAATTTTTGAACTGCCGAAGAGGCGGTTTTCTCCAATAAGAAAAATATTATTTCAAAAAATCTGGGTTTCACATGGAGTGGGCATATGGGCAGCAAAACTCAACCTAATTCCCCAATCGACGCGTTTCATTGATTATTTTTTAATTTTAATCACACATTTCACGAGATTCTCAATTTATACTCAAAAATCTTTGTCAAATAGGAACAAATTGAACAATTTGAGTCAATTTTCCTAGGACCGTTAAATGGAATGAGTCATTCATCGGTTCGATTCGTCCCATACACGAGCTGAGCAAAGAAATCATGGATCGAGCTACAATTGCTTGAGTTGACAATTATTCTAATTTTCTTCATTTTTTTTTTTAAAGAACATACTATTTTTTTTGTTTAAAAATCAATATATACATTAACGTCTTTTAATTTTTTTAAAAATACCTCATTTTCATTTTAAGTCAATATTTCAATTTTTATTGGAAACAACATTTTTCCGGATTACATGGTCGGGTAACATATATCTTACTGTCTTGCTCGTGAAGCACCATTAAAATATTATTAACAAAAAACATTATAAGGTGTCATTATGTAACTTTTAGAGCTTGTTTGGTACGACTATTAATTCAATTAAAATCAATTTTTTTATCGTTATTTTACTATTTCAGTCGTCATTTATGAATTCTTCTCTCACAGGTAGGACCCACTTTATCTCTAACGATCAAAAAATCAATTATCAAAATCTCTACCAAACAAGCACTTAATATATGTGTTACTTATTTTATGATTTATATTTATAGAATGACATATATGTTATTGTATTAATTCATTTCAAAAACTTGCCCCTTGTTTGATTCCCATTACCCAATAATTCATTTTTTCCTGTTCATTTTCAATCACGCATTTTAATAATAAAATAATTTGCACGTAAATCTAAAAACATTCTTACTTTTTAGCTACATTATTAGAAAAATCACTATTACAAAATTCATTTTAACATAAAAATGAGCCTCAAACAATGGCCTATTATCATTCCATCCTACACAATTTACCACATAGGTAGCAACAAATCGGGTCAGATTTCTTGAATGCACGCGCGCGCTTGCCCTTGTGATGTGTGTTGCAGTTTTTGAAGTTATTAACAACGAGGTTTATGTATGGCCATAACCGATTTCTACGATCTCAAAGGATTTTTTATAATCATGAATTTGTCAATATTAATCTACGTAAAATATTAAATTCTTTCTATCACTTTATATACAAATATGTTTATGATCAAAAGAGTGCACAATGTGATATTAGTCTGTACCTTTTATGTTGACAAATTTTTTAGATTAAAGGATGGTCAAGAAAGTGGAATTTACGTGAATTGCAAAGGATCCACAGGGAGAAAGATGCTTCATTTGTGTAGTTAGTTACATTTAAAGAGTTTCTAGTTCTTAATCGTTATGCAACTTATGTTTAAATTAAAAAATATGTTAGTTTATCCTTCTTTTAAGATTTCCTAGTTTTTTTCTTGATGAGAACATTTAAATTATTATTTGATTTAAGTATGCATATGATTAAAATTGTCAACAAAAATGTTTAGCTTACTACTTGAATTTTGTTGCATCATCTTGAACATAATTATTTGAATTTTTGGACAAAACTAGTGGGGTTTGAAAGTCCTATCAATCCTCTATCCATTGATTTTGGAATCAAGTCATTTGAAGGTCAGTGGGATAAGTTATGCATTTTTTCACATGCTGTATTCAGTGCACCTGATAATAGTTTTTTTCTGCACATGTTTGAATGTCTATTTGAGTGCCTAAATGATGTTATAAAATTCTAAAATTTGACTATGTCGTACTTGAATAAGTTTAAAAAAATACTGAAAAAAATTCATAAAATTATAAATTCAATAAATGGTTCAACTAAGCTTGATCGCTGGGTAACGCGTTGTTGAATTTACCTCCATTAATGCACCCTAACATTTATTTTAACCCTCCATTTTACTTTTTGTTATTTAACAAATCAACATTATCTACCTTAAATCATTTGTAACAAAACGTAGGGTAACTACAAAGTTAAAAAACGAAATCAAGAAAAACTTTTATTTAACCCGAATTTTTGGAAAGGAAAAAAAGAACATTGTTTTTGTACAAATTTCAAATTCTAAAATTGGGTCGTTATTGCTGATAACTCAGTTATTCATTAATCTTTGTAATCAAATTTAGTTAAACTTAATACTTTAAATCTTTGGTGGGCTTTCATCGCCTTAAATGGGTCGAGCCTCCATAACTCGTTTATTAAATGGACTACATCAATCAATTTAATAATATTAGTTTGTGTCTCGTGCGTTGCACGAATTTTGTATTTATTAGCGTAAAATTTATAGATTGTACAAAAAGTATTTGGAAATAAGAAATGTTTGTTTGATTCTCATCTTTTGGTCGACTGTATATTTTATGTCACTATAATTTATTTTTATTCTTATAAACAAGTATAATGAATGTTGTGATTGTATACATGTCAATGATAATTTATTTTTAATTATTTTTTGTATTTTTTGTTTAATGTAGATGAAGATATATTTTTTTTTAATCTGATATTGCAAATAAGTTGTAAATTGAATTTTGCAAAATGTTTTTCGTTAGCAACTTCGATTCGAGAGGCTATACTTGTAGTTCAAAAATTATCCATGCAGTTATAAATTGAAAGAGAATATACACATATACAAACATTTAAATAACAAACTCAGGTTCGCACGTAAAATAACTTGAAGTGGCACTTACTGAATGACTAACTCCCTTGTTGGCGTAAGAATTAGAACCCTAACAGCAGGCCTATTTTTCAAACGCTACAACAGTCACTCCAAGGTTGGTAGGGCAAAAGAATTTAAAAAAAAAATTTTATTTAAAAGAGAAAAGAATTAAAAAGAAATTTAAATAAATTGATAAAAAAACCAATTATTTATAAAGTAAATTTTTCAATTTTAATTAAATAATATTTATATATTCTTCATTTAATTTTCATAACTTTATTTTATTTTTTACTTCTAAATAATTTTAAACGAATTTTTTTACTTCTATAAGTAATTTTTACATATATTAGAAATATTTTTTGTTAATATGTTTATTTTTAAATTTTTTTTTATTAAAAGTGATTTTGTTTTTTTTTAACTTATAAAAGTGGTCAGCACGAAGTAAGGTAGGAGGTATAGAAAGTTGCGTGTTACATAGTTTCACATTGTCTTTCTTACACTATATATATAATATAATAATATAAGCAAATGAGTTGATTTGAAAAGGCGTGGCCATAGCGTATGAAAATGGAGAATGAAAAAGTACAAAAAAAATAATTTCAATAATCCTCCGTGCACGGAGACCACACTATATATAATTTTTTTTTTAATTCTTCTCTTCAATTTTTTTAACCTACAAATAACTTTTTTGTTAAAACTGAAAAATTAAGTTTTATTTGGAAAAGAAAAAAATTAAAAAGAAAAAAATAATTGATTTTTTTAAAGAAAAAACGCATTTATTAACACATATGTTTAATCTCTGTTTAACTATTTTCGATATTTATTTATATCATTCGATGTCTCTACGATATAGTTCTCAAAATGAGTTTCGAGAGAATGTAAAACATTTATCAATTCGACTATCGTACAATCGTCAATGAATTTTTAAAGTTAGCTTGTTATCGAAAATTTCAAAATAATAATAAAATAATTGATTTTTTTAAGAAAAACGACTTATGCGTATTTTTTAACAGATACGTTTAGTATCCGTTTAACTATTTTTGATATCTATTTAGATCATTCGATATCTCTACGATATAGTTCTCAAAATGAGTTTCAAGAGAATGTAAAACATTTATCAATTTGACCGTCATACAATCGTCGATGAATTTTTAAAGTTAGTTTGTTATCGAAAATTTCGAAATATAGTTTGAAAATGCCTACTTTGACGTCCCATAACATTTGCTATGATTGACCATTTCACGCACCGTTAACGACGAGCAATACTATACCGCGAGCACTTCAAAAGATATTAAGAATGTAATATTTCGACATCGTTTGATATCCCGTAATGAGCCTGAAAATGAACGCAAAAACATAAGCAAAAAAAAAAAAATTCATTTATCTCTCTGTGCACGAGGACCTTGGTCTCCTTGCACGCCAGGTCTCCGTGCACGGAGTCCTCTTTTTTTTTTCTTCATTGTAGTTAATTATATATATATATTTTTTAATTTTTTTACAACTTGAAGCAAACTTTTTACTATGTAAAGAAATATACTTAAAACTTTGAGTTAATATTTAATCTAAAGTAATATTTAGATAAATTTAATTTAAAAAATTCAATATTACTAAAAATATTACTATAAAATTAAATATTGTCTAAAATTATTAGATATATCCAACTATGATAATATAGTTTTTTTTTTTTTTAGTTTTCTACATTTATAATAATGTAAAAAAAAAAAAGAATATCCATGCACTCTATGCACGGAGGAACGCGTCTTTTTTGCTCCGCACTTGAAAAAAAATGAAATTTTAAATAATTGAAAAAAAATTTACGTCATACCGCATAATTTTTTTGAGCAAAATGATGTATTGAGAAAAATGTTGCGAAAAAATAATAAATAGTAATAAAAAAAATTGATTTTTTTAAGAAAAACGACTTATACGCATTTTTTAATACATACATTTAATGTCCATTTAACTATTTTCGATATTTATTTGGATCATTCGATGTCTCTACGATATAATTCTCAAAATAAGTTTCGAGAGAATGTAAAACATTTATGATTCGTATAATCATCGACGAATTTTTAAAATTAGCTTGTTATTGAAAATTTCGAAATAGTAATAAAATAATTGATTTTTTTAAGAAAAACGATTTATGCGTATTTTTTAACACATACGTTTAATGCCCGTTTAACTATTTTTTATTTTTTTAAATATTTGTGTTGTTTACATTATAAATTTTTTTTCAATATTAAATTCTTTTCTCTTAATAATTCCAAACAGAAACTCAGTTTTGATTTGCATTATAAATAATTTTTCTTTTCAAC